GTTCACTGTTGCCTCGGGCAAATCTTCCTTTTTCTTCACTTGAAACGACAGGCTTACCGTTGGGCGATTCGTTTTGATACCATCGGTAGTGTCTTCGCATTTTGAAACGAAATCTGAAATTCAGCCAATCATTAGGGCATAAAACAAGCACGTGATTTGAAAGCTCACTTTCGTGTAGTCGAAATGTTTGGATAATCCTCCCCTGCACATAGTAGCGTTTCAAGGAGAAACGGAACTGATCAATCTGGTCCAGTAACCAAATATTGGCGAGTGTTTCGCAGTGTCACACATGATCAACCACAGCCCATTAAGCGATGACACCTTTACTTGACATGCAGATATTCACTTTATCATCATCAGATGATTCTCAAAACAAATCCATTACAGTACCCACTTGAACTCATTTATGTAAATCACATGCCAGTTGCTTGCCGTGTCATTAGCAAAACGATAATTGAAAACTCGCTTTGACGAGAACATCCTGCCTGAGGTGCCATACACGCAAGTCTGTAGATGAACAGCGCAAAAATCGAATTCACTGACTTAATTGTTGGAAAATCATGAGACTCGCACGACTCAGATGACTACAACAGTTTCCCTAAATGAAATTTTCCGTTCCGTTTCATCTAGCAGTTCCTATTTACTGTGATTGATGTTTCGAAACTTGACAACTGCTCTGCCGAGTGTCATGCAACACGTGGCAGAGGAAAAGAATAATTAATAAAAGGTAGCGTTGGAATTAAAATAATAATTATACTGTTTGACATTAATTTGAAACAGTTTTCAGTTTTGGAGTTTCACGCTCGTCATCCTTTATCCGACATGCAGTCGCTGTGGGCACATGAGAACGCCAGTCGACGTTCCTACAATTTTCTCTCTTCTCGAGCATTTTCTGGTGAGGGGTTGTTTAGCAGTCCATTTGGCGGCGCCAACTCTAGTGAACTACTGTCGATGTCTGCTCACCCTTCCTCCATCCCAACGAATTCAAGAAAATGGACCATTTTGTGAGGTCCTGGTTATGAACAGATATCACTGGCAGTCGCAGACAAGCAGCAGTGGGATCACAAAGGCATGGCTGGATTTGATCTCGATGAGTTGAATCCTCAGAAAAAGTCACAATGCCCAAAGACAGCCTCATATTGAGGCGAAAGAGTTTCGCTTTTGCCGCTTCCGGTAAAATGGTCCTCCAATGTATCCGTTGTCTTGCGGTTAGACGTCAGCTCGTCAGGGCCCAAAAGAGGCACATTAGGTACAAAATTAGCCGGAATTGGGGGGACCCGTCTGTATGAAATCTCATGGTCATCATCAGCCTTGCCATCAGGAGGCAAACATCATGCGCCATGTCAACACGAAAAAGTTGCAACCTCCTTCCCCCAGGATCCGGAGCTTCTCTCGATCAGTTTCGCAGCGTTGGTTTGGTGTTCGACTGACGCGAGACTGCTTAAAATTTCAGGTTACAGGGCGCCATCTGGAAAACGAACCCTGATTTTCCTCATCTACTGCTGTACAGATTCTAATAGAGATGGGTGTGCAATAAGGGAACACTATCGACCCCAAGCTCTTCACTATGTATGGAAATGGCGTTCTATTAACTGAATGGGTGAGCTTACCATCAAGTGCAAACAGATCAGTCATCTAACGTTCGCTGAAGACGTAGAATTGCATCCGAGAAACGTCGGTCAGATTCGCAATATGTGGTACCGTGGTGACTCATTGTGCATGTGGTTGGCTTTGAACCTCAACTGCGGCGGTGCTGAGTTCAATTGCCGTGGCTGGAAAACTTTTTTTGCCGCAAATTCCCTTGTGCAAAGAACCAGTACATATTAGACCATTGCACAAGGATTCAGACCGGGGCTAGTTACTTGAAAGAGGGTCAGACTGGGTTCGATGGCCGGTTCGGAATACTCGCCTTTTTTCCTTCCCAGGTTGATAAATAAGTAGCCCCTTGAAAAATGAGCGGGACGCACACAGGAAAATACAGACAATGTCTTAAAAAGTGAGGAAATGGAGTTCTACACTCCCACCGTTGACTTAATGAAAACAGGGGTGGTAGAATTAATAATGCCAAAGTCATATCTCATAATCTGCGAGTCATATATGCCAAAATATCCCTATTGTTTGCAAAACAAGAATTTTGCTGCCCGTTTCTTAGCAGGTTGTACCGAAGCAAGGTGAAGTTAGTTCATTGCTCAAGGGAATTTGTGGTTTAGAAAGGGTTGTTTCTATGCCAGATTTGAGCCTGGAGTTTGAAGCAGGCGTCTTTGCACGGTGCCTCTTCGGCCAAGGAAGGAAACCTCTCAGTAAATGCAGTGCCATAACGTCAGAGAGTGCAGCTAAAACGGTAGGTTTTGGATGTAGACTACAGGCAAACACACTGATATCAGCTGAAACTGAATGCTCTCAGTTTGAACATGCGGAGCACACCATGTCCTTGTTCAAAATCTGAGGCATCTCAAGCAGCACCCATCTCTACAGGAAGCTACTAATTACTTGTTTCATGTAGCTTTCCCAGGTGGATCGGTCAGCAGCCACAAGGAAAGCATCTTGTTTGAACTGGAAGGTGCCAATAACAGGTCTCTTCTATGTTACAGAGCAGTCCACTGAACAACCCTTCCAAGGGTGCTTCCTCTGTAATACTTCGTAGAAAATCTGTCTTTGTA